CACCCCCTCTAGGGGGTGATTTCTCATTGTCTCTCTCTTCAGTGAGCACAAGTGCCCTATGGTAAAAACCTAAATATATATATAAATATATATATATATACTTACACATACACACACACAAATAATTTTTTTTCTTTTTTTTTGGAGAGGTTTTTGCTATAGGGCGCGTGCGTTCGCCAGAAAGACAGAGAGAGACAGAGAGACAGAAAGTGAGAAATCACCCCCCCAGGGGGGATGGCCACATTGCAATCCATTCTCCTCCACGCGCCGGTGTGAGTTTAAGCCACTGGGTCTGGGACTCAAACCACAGTCGACTACATGGGAGTCCAGCGACATAGCCATTACACTAACTGCTGGTCCTCACAAATAATTTTTGAGGAGAAACTATTAAAAAGTGAAATAAGAAAAAAATGAAGTAATAGAAAAATACATTACTTTGGACCTTGTAATGACTGCTAAGCACAATGTAATATATCTGTCCTTGGTATCTATGGGCGACTGGTTCCTGGACTCCTGTGGATACCAGAACTGGCCGGTGAACAAGTCCCTACAGAATATGATGGAGAATGTGCACAGAACCTACGCACACACTCTGTGCACCATAAGTGAATGGAAACCTGGTGCGAAGCCTATGCAACTGCTCAGTGCACGAACTCGCTGCAGTATTAGCATGTGGCAAATTCCAGTTTTGCTTTTTGGAGCTCCCTGGAATTCTTTCTTCTGAATATTTTCTGTTTTTAAAATTTATGTCTTTCTTTCTCCCAGGGGCATGGAGTGGGCTGCACTCCCATGCAGTTCCAGCTGCACTGCACAGTGCCACATCCTGGCCCTCTGCCTCATCTGGATCCATGGCTGGCTATACACCTAGATGCAGAATCCACAGATGAGGGTGGACTACATCAGTTTGTAAATGTTTCCTTTTAAATAAATATTTACTGTTAAGAAAAATGTGACACCACTAATGATAAAAGGAATCCCAAGATTACTTTTTACTACATGGGCTCTGTATCCCTTACTCAAAATGCCAGGGACCAGAAAGGTATGTTTTTATTTTAGAATATCTGCACATATGCAATGTGCTATGTTGGAGATGGAACCAGAGCCTACATACAGAATTCATGTCTGTTTCAGACACACCTTATCCACATAATCTAAAGATAATTTCATACATTATTTTTGTATCACAGTGTTTTTGATCACAACCACATGAGCTCAGGTGTAGAATTTCTCAATTGTGGCTTCATGTTGGTGCTCAAAATTTCAGATTTTAGAGTATTTTGCCTTTTTTAGGGGAGGAGATTTTTTGCTATAGGGCACATGTGCTTGCTGGAGAGACAGAGACAGAGAGATAGAAAGTGAGAAATCACCTTCCGGGGTGATGGCCATGCCGCAATCCCGTCTCCTCCATTATCTTCCTGGGATCTTGGACACATATGCACATGTGCCCAGCGTGAGTTTGAAGCCACCAGGTCTGAGACTCAAACAGCAGTCGGGAGTCCAGTGATGTTAACTACCATGCCATCTGCTGGTCCCTTTGCCTTTTTTTTTAAATGATAAAACACATGTGTATGGGAAGGAGAAGGCGCCCATGACGAGGTCCCGTCGTGCTGTGATCCCGTGTGCCAACCCGCTAGCTCCACAGTGCCCTGACTGCCCATACATGCCTAGCATGTGTTTCTGGCCCGCCCATGATTGAGCCCATGGAGGCCATGTGGCCCCCAGCACTAAAGTGTGCTACCCTTACAATGGCTGGGCCTAGGTCATTTTGGACTTCAGATTTTTGAATTAGGGATGCTTAACCTGTACTACCTACCAAGCTTGACTGAAGTCACTAAGGTAAATAAAATTTAATCTCTGCTCAAGTAGAAGAGTAACAACCCAGACTGCCACATATAAACTTTATATCAGAATTTATCTTTAATAATTATCTACCCTTTAGTGTTAATTTGCAACAGTTCAGAGTGCTAAAACACAATTTCTGCCAGGAACAAAATCATGAATTTGTCCACTTAAAATTGCGAGGAATTCCTGGTTTTAAAGTTCACTGGATAATCGACAATTAACACCACTCACAACCACATTACCATAATAACAAGGCCATAAAAAGTTCAGTTTTGGTCAGTATTTTTACAGGTCGTAAACATTCTGAGGCAGTCACCTGTCTGCCAGGACGGAGCCCGGAACTGCGGTAAGGGAGTAGTAGTCCCCGAGGCAGCAGCCTGGGCAGGCCTTAACGGAGTAGTTCCCGAGGCAGCCTGGGCAGGCCGTGGTTCAGCGGCGGGGAGGAAGTCCATCACGGCGGGCTCTTTAGCGTCGGTGCTGGCGCTATCCACACTAGTGTCAAATATTCCGGGAAGACCTACATTTGAAGATAAAATAATCCTGATCTAAAACTATATACTTACATACAATTACATTCCTGACCCTACTTATAAGGAAATTTCTGAAAATAGAGGCCAAAACATTCTGTAACTAAATGTTTTTGTTTTGAAAATAGCAAACATTACCTTCACTAAGCATATTTATAACTTAAAATCTCCAAGGATGCATGAAAAAAGAATCTCTTAACTTCAGATGAAGAGATTTTAAAAGATTAAGAAAAGTTCACTTGGGAACCAGCAGTTAGCATAATGGCTATGTCACTGGACTCCCACGTCGTCGACTGCGGTTCGTGTCCCAGACCCGGTAGCTTAAAACTCACGCCAGGCACATGTGCGTGCATGCCCAGGATCCCGAGAGGAGAATGGAGGAGAAGGGATTGCGGTGTGACCATCCCCCCTGGGGGGTGATTTCTCGCTTTCTGTCTCTATGTCTCTCTCTGTCTGTCTGGCGAGCGCAAGCGCCCTATAGCAAAAACCTCTCCAAAAAAAAAAAAGAAAAGTTCACTTAAGATTAGAGATTTTAATTATCTGTCAAAAATCAAAGTTTTAATCTCATTTGCCCATTTCCCATGGCACGGATACAAAGTCATAACCCAACATGTTAAAATGCAGTTATCTTCCTGCTCACTAAATGTACCCAGGGCCACAAGTACCTATGTCACTGGACTCCCACGTCGTCGACTGCGGTTCGTGTCCCAGACCCGGTAGCTTAAAACTCACGCCAGGCACATGTGCGTGCATGCCCAGGATCCCGAGAGGAGAATGGAGGAGAAGGGATTGCGGTGTGACCATCCCCCCTGGGGGGTGATTTCTCGCTTTCTGTCTCTATGTCTCTCTCTGTCTGTCTGGCGAGCGCAAGCGCCCTATAGCAAAAACCTCTCCAAAAAAAAAAAAAGAAAAGTTCACTTAAGATTAGAGATTTTAATTATCTGTCAAAAATCAAAGTTTTAATCTCATTTGCCCATTTCCCATGGCACGGATACAAAGTCATAACCCAACATGTTAAAATGCAGTTATCTTCCTGCTCACTAAATGTACCCAGGGCCACAAGTACTGCATGGGACAATTGTTACCGGCTGGCTGAGGCGTGGGAGTGTATCCGGAGAGCTGACGAGAGGCTGGGAAAGTCTGCCTCTGGAGATCTGCTTCAGACTGCGAGGCATGTCCGTCTTCGTAGCTTAAACTGGAGAATATTAAAAAAAATCAGTGACCGAAAACATACAACCCCAACCGTACATCAAATGATCTCCAGGAGAGCAACGATGAGCAAGGCCGAGGGTGTTGATGGGCTCCTGCCCTGCAGACCAGCAAGCCCAGCGGTCCACAACTCAGTAGCAATGGGGGCACGCACTGATGCTACACCAGAGAGAAAAGTTACACACGATGCTCTCCTTCACTCAACTTTATCTCAGACAGAATCCAGGGGAGTGGGAGGAGAAAAACCCTGGAAAACAGGAGAGTTAAATCCACTGTCTGAGCTCTACTGGCTCGCTGTATGATTAAAACCAGTGACTCAGTGACTGGCAGAACTATGTCCACGTCTGCATGAAAACGACCTGCTATGCAACCTCTAAAGCCCTGTAGTGTTCACATTCTGTGGCATATCAGATAATTCAAGTGAGCTAATAATTACCACTACTTCCTAATAACCCACCTAAAAATTCCAAGCTCAAATATTCTGAGAGAAATTCAGGTTTTTTTTTTTTCTCTACATGATTTTAATTCTGAATATTATAAACACAGAAAAATTGGAATAGTACAATGAACACCCATGCACTGGCCACTTACAAGTCAACAATCATTAACATTTTGTTACATTCATTTTTCTCTTCTTAAAACACACATTTTCTTCCTCTTTTTTTTTTTTTTAAATGAGGGAGAGAAATAGAAAGAAAGTTCTGACAGGGTCTCACGTCCTGATCCTCCTGCCCAGTCTCCTGCTGTCTCAGCCACTGTGCAAGTGGCACCTCTCAAGCCAGCCCCCACACTTTTAAAAAAAATTTTATTTATTCACTGATTTATTTTAATTTGACCAGAGAGAGACATAGAGAGCGAGAGAGACAGAAAGTGAGAAAGCAAAGTCATCAGGTCCGGGACTCAAACTATGGTTGGTCATGTGGGAGTTTCTAGCGCCTTAACCACCATGCTGGTCCCCCATACCACTTGAAGATAACTCATCGCTATCCTGACAGAACATTGCTAAATGTCTCTGAGGAATAAGGACATTCTCTTATATAACCAAATACCAATATTAGACTTCAAATTTAACAGTAACTCAATAATCATGTAATAAAGAGGTCATATTACAATTTCCCCAACTGTTGCCAAAATGTCTGAGATGTTTAAGCTCTTTCAAACTAAGAGCCAATCAAAATTCAAGAATTTAATTTGATTATGTCTCATTAACTTAAGATCCATGCTTCTACACTGCCCCAATCCCAAGTCCCTTCTGTTTTAATTTCATGCCATTGCCTCTTTTGGGGGGAATACAGGTCAACTGAACTCATGTGTGTAGATTTTTCCTCTCATCAATCTCTATGCATACTAAATTTAATATTCTTATTCCCACAACCTTATAAAGGCCTATTAGTTAGAAAAGAACAGAGACAGAATCAGTGGCACCAACTGTCCAAATGTGTTAACTGCCCTCTCTTCCTCCTTCAAGTGTGAAAGTCCAAGTACGTGGTACGTGGGGCAATGCTACCGGCAATTCCAGGATCAAGGCTTTGGTGGTAATGAAAAATGGAACCAGTAAGTACTTCAGTCAGCTCTCACAGTCTCATAAAAACAAGCAAAATAGTCAAAGAAGTCACTGCATGTCACCCAAGTTCTACCCATATATAATATTATCCTCTGTCCCACCCCAATCCTTAAAAACAAACAAACAAACAAACAAAACCCAAAACAACAACAACAACCAAAAAACCCCAAACTGTAAAGGTCACCAAAAACAAGGAAAAAAAAGCCTGAGAAACTGTTGTAGGCAAGAGGAAACAAGATAAAGGTACTATGGTATCCCTGGAAAGACAGAACAAAGCATTAAGTAAAACTATGAAAATCAGAATATATAATGGGCTTTAGCTAATAATAACATATCAACACTGGTTCCTCAATTGTAACAAATACACCACACCATGGCTGGTCAGAGTCGGCAGGCGACTGGCCCAGCCTTGGCAGTATAGGGGTAGCCTGCTTCCCTGCAGTGCTGGAAACCACATGGCCTGCCACAGTTCTAGTTCCTCAGTCCACGGAGGACTGACCTGCCGGGGCAAGGGCACCCAAGATCCCCACACATTAGAGGGCAGTAGGAGGGCATCAATCATAGCATGATTGGGGCACCCTCTAGCATGGATAAAATGATAGTAACAATAATAAAAACAAAACAGCAAACTGGATGAGGGATATAGAACTCTGTACTATCCTCTCAATTTTTCTGTAAATCTCAAACAATTCTCAAAAACAAAGTCTGGGCCTAGCAAGTGGCATGGAGGTTAAGGCACTGGATCCCACATGTTCACCGTCACAGTTCAATCTTGGACCCAGTGGCTTGAGAAACATGCCAGGTACATGTGGATGTACACCCCAAATCCCAACAGAATGGAGAAGGGATAGCGGCATGACCACATCCCATTGGGTGGGTGCTTTTCTCTCCTCCCTCCACCCTACCTGCTCTGCCTCTGTTTCTACCTGGTAAGTGTAGCTGTCCTCTAGCAAAAAATATAAAAATAAAAAATCAGTGATTACACAATGATGAGAATGACAGCATTAGGTCACATGAAAATGTCATTGTTTTATCTTTAGTTATACTCTATAAATGTCTATAGACCTAGCAGCAAGAGAGAAGCTACAAGGTCAGGATCCCTAAAGAAACTTTAACTTACAAAGGTCAAATTTAAACTCTGAAATATTAGACAAATCAAAGCAAAATACACTTACAATGAAAAATGCATACTTATTAAATATTTATTGAAAACTTATTATATGCTAGGTATGTGGAGAAAAAATACATGGTTCAAGTTCTACTATTAAGAAACACCCAAGTGGGCTGGCCCTATAGCCTAGTGGTTGAGGATCCAAGATCCCACATAGCTGACTGTTATTCGAATCCCATCCCCAAAGGCTTGAGAAACCTAACATGCTAGGCATGTGTACATATGTGCCCCAAATCCTGATGGGAAGGAGAAGAGACGGCAGCATTACCACATCCAATCGGGGGATGCCTTCTCCCTGTCCTTCCTTCTGCCTCTCTAGTGAACACACACGTTCTCTGGGAATAAAAAAAAAAGAGAAACAGCCAAGCTAACTGCCAAATACTAACAATAAGCAAAACAGAAATATTTAATATTAGGGACTGATAAGTTCCATGAAGAAAATTTACTCAGCAGGTAGAGCCTGAGAGTGACAGGAGGATAGAAGTAATTTTTTTAATAATTGAAAGTATAACCTTGGGCTACATCGCTAGACTCCCTAGTTGACCACGGTTCGAGTCTCAGATCTGGTAGCTTAAACTCATGCTGGGTGTGTGTGTGTGTGCATGCCCAAGATCCTGAGAGGAGAATGGATTGCAGCGTGGCCATCCCCCCCACCCCAAGGTGATTTCTCGCTTCCTGCCTCTTTGTCTCTCTTTCTGGAGAGTGCACATGCCCTAAAGCAAAAATTTCTTTCTCAAAAACAACAACAACAACAAAAAAAACGCATAATCTTCCAGTATAAATGTTAAATTCCAAAAGACCCAACATTCTCCTTGAAATTCTTTAATCACTTGCTTTATGAAAACCAGAACAGCTTGTAATTAAGAGCAGCCTATACATTCACACTTCCTGGGTTCAAATTCTGCCTTTGCCACTTGAACAGTGTTACCTTGGACAAGTTAATTAACCTCTCTGTGCTTCAGTTTCCTGGTATGGGAAATGGATTAACAACAACACTTACCTCAGAGAGTTAGGTATCTCCCAGAGTGATACTTCCCAGAGTAATACCTCACAGAGTTAGGTATCTCAGAGACTTAGGTATCTCACAGAATGATACCTCACAGAGTCATCTATCACAGAGTGATACTTCACAGAGTTAGGTACCTCACAGAGTGATTCCTCACAGAATTGGATATCTCACAGAGTGAGGTACCTCACAGAGTGATACGTTACAAAGTGATACTTCACAGAGTTAGGTATCTCAGAGTGAGGTATCTCAGAGTGATACTTCACAGAGTTGGATATCTCACGGAGTGAGGTACCTCACAGATTTAGGCACCTCACAGAGTCATATCTCACAGAGTGATACCTTACAGAGTTATGTATCTCACAGAGTGATATGTCACAGAGTTAGGTACCACACAGAGTGGTATCTCACAGAATTAGGTATCTCACAGAGTGAGATGTCACAGAATGGTACCTCAGAGTGTTTTCTCAGAGAGTGATACCTCACAGAGTTGGATATCTCACGGAGTGAGGTACCTCGCAGATCGGTATCTCACAAAGTGATACTTCAGAGAGTTAGGTACCTCACAGAGTGATTCCTGACAGAGTGATATCTCACAAGAGTTAGGTTTCTCAGAGTGAAACCTCACAGAGTGATACATCATAGAATAATACCTAAGAGTTAGGTATCTCACAGAGTGATATCTCACAGAGTGATACCTCACAGAGCTGGATATCTCAGGGAGTAAGGTACCTCACAGAGTTAGCCACCTCACAGAGTGATTCTTCACAGTGTGAAATCTCACAGAGTGATATCTCACAGAGTTAGGTATCTCAGAGAGTTAGGTATTGCATGGAGTGAAATCTCACAGAATGATACCGCACAGAGTGATACATCAGAGTTAGGTACCTCACAGAGTGATACCTCGGAGAGTTAGGTATCTCACGGAGTCATATCTCACAAAGTGATATCTCACAGAGTTAGGTACCTTACAGAGTGATATCTTACAGAGTGATACCTCACAGAATGATACATCAGGGAGTTAGGTATCTCATAGAGTCATAGCTCACAAAACGATACCTCACAGAGTGAGGTATCTCACAGAGTGATACCTCACAGAGTTAGGTACCTCAAAGAGTGACACCTCAGAGTGAAGTGTCAATAGACAGCACAGGTAGGTAGTGTGCTTGCTGCTTTGATAAACGTGTCACAGTACTCAGAGCAGGAAAGCTCAGTTCTTCACCCTTTTTACTTTTCAAGCCACCAAACCATAATCTAAGATCCCAATGCACATATGTCCAGACTTCCCAACCCGCCTCTCTGGTATGGTCGGGTAAGGACAAATACTTTGTGGAAAATGGAAGTGCTGGAATAAAGAAAACTTTAAATCTGGTGATCAGGAAAGGCTTCGAGATATTTCAACAGAGATGAAAACTCCAAGAAGCCAACACCAAAGACACCCAGGTTGGAGGTCTTTGTGGTCCCAGGACAAGCAGCCTTAGTGTCACCTAGAATCTTGTTAAAAATGCAATTTCTGGGACCAGCAGATGGTGTAGTGGTTATGTCACTGGACTCCCACGAGTCAGCCTCAGTTCGAGGCCTGGAACCAGTGGCATAAAACTCACACTGGGTGTGTGTGTGTACGTGACCAAAATCCCAAGAGCAGACTGGAGAAGGGATTGGGGCGTGGCCATCCCTCTAGGGGGTGATTTCTTGCTTTCTGTCTCTCTGGTTGAGTGCATGTGCCCTATAGCAAAAATCTCTCTCTCAAAAAAGCACAATTTCTGGAACTCCACCCCAGATTTGTTAATTCAGGAACTATGCAGCTGGGTTCAGCAAACTGTATTTCCACAAGCCTTTTGAGTGGTCTCAAAGACCACTGACCTTCCTCAAGGTTTGGTAAGATCAAGGATCGAAAAGGAAGAGAGTACTCAAACCTGTTCTCCCCTCAGGACATCTGCACAGGTTGTCTCCTCAGATGTCAGGAAAAGCCACTTCCGGGGAAAACTTTCTGTTTCTGTATTTGATCACTTGCCCAAGAATGTAAGCTTCACAAGAACAGAGATTTTTGTCTAACTTAC